AGAATGTAAAAAAGCTGTGGAGCTCTCAGAAAAGGGTTCTGAAAAGCTCAGGTGCAGCGATTTTGTCTTGTCAAACGTGTGTTTTGTGTAGAATTGAATGCTGTTGTGCGGAAATTGAAAGTTCATCGTGTCTGATATTGGCTCATCACATTGTCTCCTCCTGTGCCTCGTTTCTTTTTCAATTCTAACGATTCTTTGTCTTATTTGCAGGCTGCTTGAGATAGTAAGCTATAAAATCATTGGAGTTCACCAGGAGGATGAGCTGCTAGAATGTTTATCTCCTGCTGCTAGTCGCACCTTCAGAGTAGAGGCAAGTTCTGGGGCTTCGAGCTCAAACATAATAAACCAGAAACATGCCAGCGATGACAATAAGCCATTTAGATTAATTCATAGCCATGATGACACCTACGCTTTAATACCTTTTCCAAATGCTTCATTCGCAGCTTGGAACTTATATATTAACTTCCTGCATCTTAAACTGATATATTCCACTTCACATAGTTACTGTGACTTTTAATTATCAAATAATTGTCAAATCAATGAACTTATAGCAGTAGTAGTACATAACAGTTCATTTGGTGGAAAGCAGTGTAGTGGGAAATGGTATTATTCAACTGGAAAATATCTCACCTCTAAGGATAAGCTTACCAGTATTCTGATAGTAATAACATCTTAAAGGGTGAATTGTATAAAGCTTGGTGTAGCTTAGAGTAACTAAAGGAAAGTCTTAAATGTAATTAACAAAGCAAATATGCCACAAGGTGGCAGCATAAGCACATGTGTGTTTGTTGCATCTGTGATCATGGATTCAACATCGTGTCATTTGTTTTGTTTCCAAAAGGAGATTTCCTTGGATCAGGTGGACTTGGACAAGGACACAGAAATGCTCATTCCTGTTGCCCACTTCCACAAAGAAGTCTTTGGCACCTTTGGTATCCCTTTCTTGCTAAAGATTCGGCAGGTTAGTTTAAATAACATGCATTTTCCTGTTTTCTGAAGCCCTTTTATCAACCTGCATGTCTACCTGTAGTTCAGCTAAAACACTGAATGTGAGGCTGTTTGGACACAGTCATACCCTCTTCTTGCAGAAGGTGGTCCTTCAGACCCCCTGCCCCCCTCTGCAGATCTGAAGATGATCCTCCAGTGTTCAAATGCAGTATTGATTTTCATGTTCTTTACTGGCATGTATGCACTGGTCCAGAGACTACACCAGAGGATTTCTGTGGCATATTTGTTAAACATATTCATTTTTTTCGTTTTGCTTTTTAACATTTGGGACATTTTTGAGACCATCCATCCAACCATCCATCCATTTTCTTCCGCTTTATCCGTTGCCGGGTCGCGGGGGCAGCAGTCTAAGCAGAGACACCCAGACTTCCCTATCCACACACACCTCCTCCAGCTCGTCCGGGGGGGACCCCTAGGCGTTCCCAGGCCAGCTGAGAGACATAGTCTCTCCAGCGTGTCCTGGGTCTTCCCCGGGGCCTCCTCCCGGTGGGACGTGCCCGGAACACCTCCCCAGGAAGGCGTCCAGGAGGCATCCTGAACAGATGCCCGAGCCACCTCAACTGGTTCCTCTCATTTTTGAGACCTTGGGACATAAAAATCTCCTCGATGGATGTTGATTAAACTGACTGGAGCAGTATTATCTGTGTGGGACAAAAGTAAAGAAGGCAGTACTGTAAAGTTTTCCGGTTTAAGCATTATAATTGTAGCTAAATGATAGACATATGTGTCAAAGTATGATATTAAACGTGTACGATATACTGCACTGGCCCACGTTGTCTTTCACACATTTCTCTCTACGTGTGGCTGCTCTATAATTTGACCGGAAAAAAACGTTTGTCTTTGAGACACTTTCCCTAGCGCTGACCACCGGCCACAGAAGTCTCCTCTCCAAAGCTCCTTTTTGACCCGTCGAGTTTCATTGTGAAAGCCTTTTTGTTTTTCAGGGAGAGCCCTTCCGAGAGGTTATGAAGAGGATTCAGACAATGCTAGAGATCCAGGAAAAAGAATATGAGAAGGTGCGTTATGACATCATGTATTGGAGTTGTGACACAATGCTGGCCTGGACTTATATGATTTGTTTATTTTCAGTTTAAATTTGCAATTGTGATGATGGGACGACATCAGTATATCACTGAGGATGAGTACGAAGTGAACCTAAAGGACTTTGAACCACAGCCAGGTAACCACACGTTTGATTTTGAATTCAAATATGTTCCTGTATCAGGCCCCAGAGTATGACCAAACTGGGGCCATACCCTCAAAATGAAAGCCAGGGCACCTAAATGAAATGTGTCTGTGCACTCCTCTTTAACCCTGGGCCTGGCAGTAATTTAAAGACATTAGGAACAGGAGACCTTTGGGTGGGTGGGGGGTAAATAAGCATCTTTTTTGGTGTGTTACCTGTTATTTACTTTTGTGTACAAGAAATAAAGAAATTAAAAACTTTTAAAAATGAGAAAAGGCATTAGGAACTACATTTGCAGAAAAATGATGTTAGGAAACCGACCGAATTGAACTTGTCGCTCTTCCACAGGTAACATGTCCCACCCGCGGCCCTGGCTCGGTTTGGATCATTTCAACAAAGCTCCGAAAAGAGGTCGCTATACCTACCTTGAGAAGGCAATCAAGATCCACAACTAAAGAAGATGCCACTCTTATTTGTCCCTCACATAGTCCTCCTGCTCCTTCCTACCTTCATCAAGGCACTATAATATAAGTGTTTGCGACAGACGGAGGGGGAAGAGTGCATGAGTGTGCAGACTGAATGTGCCCCTTCAAACGCCCCTCCCGCCCGGTCACTGGGACAGCTCTCCACGTCACTTGGTCTTCAGCTATAGGATGTTTGCTGCGGCTGATGGATTATAAAAACCTGCACCCCCCCCCCCCCCCCCCCCCCCCCCCCCCAACTCTTATTTTGACCTTTTTTTCTTTTTTTTCCCACAGGCCTCATTCTAGGGGCTTCAGTTGTTTTGTGTGCTTTTCTGGCTTCAACTTAATTTTTTTTCTCAGTCTGGAAGCGAGACATAATAAATTGGATTTTATTATAACATGCACTGATGAGATAAAGTGGAGCACAGTTTGAAATGGAAATCTATATAAAAATATGTAATACTTCTAGGCTAGGGATCTTTTTTTTTCACTGCACCAGCTTGTTTCTTACAGATTTTTTGTTTTTGTTTTCTGGGGTTTTTAATTTTTCAGAAGAGTCATTATGCTGTTGTGTGGAGCGTGCTAGGGGGATATGTTGGGACTTAACAAGGATTATGGGATGATAAATTCATTGAAAACTGTCACGGACTGCCTCTGTTTGAATGACCAACGTGGCATAAATAGTTGGAATGGCTTTTTTTCCTGCTCCAAACCTTTAGTAACAAACAGTATTTCCATGTTGAGGCCACATTTCTTTCTTTGGTTGCAGAAATTATTCTTTTGTCTTTTTCTGCAGATCTTGTATAATAAAACACCACAGCATCTGTTTAAAATAAATGAGGAAAACAAAGGAAGAAGCTTGTCTGTATTTCATCTTGCACATTAGCACTTACTGTCAGAAAATGCAGGTTTCTCAGGATGTTGAGAGGGATTGGCTGGAGTACATAAGAAAACATGTACGAACGTATTTGTCCTAGTTTTGGGAATCGTCCCTTTTGTCATTCCTCTTCTGAACGCAAAATTGTGCGCACATAATATTTTTCCTACCCCGTAAGTTTTTCTCTTCTGTCGTAAGTTTTGTCGCCTTTTGGTGGTGGGAGCAGTACCCGCTGTCGTGCTTAGGTAGGGAGAGCTGCAGAGAAATAATCGCCTTTAGGGGGTTGTGTAGAGACAAAACCAGCATTGTAAGAAACTCCTCATGCATTTTGTTTTCTTTATGAAGCACAGATGGAATGCTCCCTATTCGCTTGTTCTGTAAAGACAACATTTAAATTGTATATTTAAAAATATTAATGTGTAAAATTTCAGAGAAACAGACGCCTTTCTCGTTGGGTACAGACAGAGCCAGGTGTTATATTTCTTGTGTGTCGTTTTTTTCTTTTTTGCGTTCCTGATGTACCATTAATTATTCTGTTACATTGGAGTTTACATTTTAACTGCATTGGTTTTGTCTTGTTAAAAATTGCAGTACAAAGATGGCCTGCAGAATCACATTTTAATTTGATCTTTTCCGGTTAAATTCCTCCGTGTAGCAGCAGTGTATGACAACTACTCATGTATATTGCCTTTTTGCTGGAAAATGTATGTTGAATAAAACTTTTCTATAAAAACTAATTAAACCTTATTTTGCTGCTCGTCAGAGTGGTACAAATATGCATTGTTATTTTGATTTGTCCCTCTTCCAGCAAAGGGTTTCTAAATCCACATTTTTACCCAAACAAGTCATTTTAAACTACCTTTCAAACTAGTACTTTAGTTTACTGGACATTCATTCATTCAACTGTAGCCATACCTGCCCTGGTACAGACTCCTTCCTCAGGCTCAGGGCTTGTGGCGGTGCTCAACACCACGGACCAAACAAATCTCACGAAACAATATAAAACATTTAGCCTCAATAGTTTATTGGAGGTCAGATGTATACAATGTCAAATATATTAGGCAGATATGAGAGAGAAGAGAAAATGGATATTTCATGTAGTTAGAATTTATAGTAAATGTTTGGAATAGTGTATTGTTCTTCCATTTCTTAAATGGTTTGAAAAATCAATACTAACCAAAATATGAGCTTTGATTGGGAAATAATAAAAATTGAATATGTATGGTGAACATTTTCAAATAAGATTTCTTTCTATTTACAAACCTTCATTTTCTAGTTTTAAAGTGTAATAAAGTAGTAAAGACTTTCTGCAGGAATGCAACATGCATTGGATGTGCTTAATTTAAGCAAAATCACTCCTAATCTTGAGGAGTGCTAATGTTTGATTTTGCTTTGGCTAATGATGTGCACCCACTGAAAAGCTCATCTTATTTCCATGGGTCCAACTGCGTCATGTCGTTTCACGTCATTTACAACACTTTCTCTTCTCAATGTGCAGCACTCTGTTACAGCGGGGGCACGTGTGGTACGCGTCCTTAAACTTGTTCATGAAGAAAGGGATCAGGCAGCAGCAGAGGACCAGGCTGAGGAGAAGAACACACAGCAGTGAGACTACAGCTCGATCAGTGAGTCCGATAAAGACCACACAAACAAACCCGAGGCAAATGAAGAGCAGGCACATGAGCCAGGCGTAGCGGCCCGCCTTGTAGGTCACGTTGGTCATGACCTGCTGCTGGCAGGAGGTGCAGGTGGCCATGCCGGGGTTGTAGCCCAGAGCGGTGTCGTAGCTCACATACTTGTTTTTGCCATCGTTTTCAGGAGCAGACGAGTTCAACCCACCTGTGTACACTGAACAGAGGTGGCTTTACTATACTTGATTTCAACCATGAAATTGCATTGTTTTGGCTATATTCTATTTCAAATTATGATGATCATTGAGCCGATCTGTGAATGGGCTGAGTTTAAGTATGTCATTTTTGTGGATATAGCACAATTCGCAGACCAAGGTCAAGTAATGTGCTTTACAACCTTTGTTGTATCAGTAATTTCCAATCACTCCACACACGGTGATGACAGAAGCGGGACGCCAAACAAAGCCCCCATGCTACCTAAACCAGGATTGATTGATTTTATATGATCACAGCCGCATAAACTCTGGTGGGCGGAGAATATCCTGCATAAACACAGTGGTTAGATATCTGGAACAATCACACAATGTGGCTCAAACAATGATATGAATCAGAGAAATGCAATAAAACAAATACTCAACTTTGTGGTTTGTGGAGGAAGGTCTTTATATGCGTATATTTGTATTTGTTCAATCACTCTTTTTATCATTTACAGATACTTTTTCTGAGCGTCAGGGAGGAGTTAAAACGCTATCTGTAATTTCCTTTTTTGGATACACCGTTCAACTTGCGTTAACTTCTCACAACCAAATGTCATCCAGTTGAATGATGTATGTCGTCTGTCTTTCACGGTCTGTCTCCGTGGTCCTGTGTGGGCATTGCGATCCGATATTTTGGTGAATACCTCTGTGTCTGTATTTGGCTCCCTGACCCAGCCATGAACCAATATGTTCAGGGAAAAACATACTTACACTACCGCAGGGCTTTCATCCCCACTGCTGTCAGACTGTACAATAAGTCACTTTAATGACTTGCACTAGGACTGAAAAACTTGCACTGCTATAGTCACTTATAATTTTATTGTACATAATATATCTTGCACAAACAAGAATGTAACAAGTAAATTGTGAGATCATCCATCCATCCATTTTCTTCCCCTTAATCCATTTCTGGGTCGGGGGGGTGGCAGTCAGAGCTGCACCCAGTACACAGAGCACCAGCCCCTCACTGATCCTCCTGCAGGTGGTGAGTCCACAGGAGCTGAGATCTTTCAGTTGGGGCTTTGGGCAAAGTGGGGTTAAGTGTCTTGCCCAAGGACACAACGACAGCAGTCATCAGTGGGAGTCGTGAAGTAGGTCTTACGGTGGGCTCGAACCCACAACCTTCAGGCCCAAAGGCCAATGCTCTACCAACTGAGCTACTGTCGCCCTCATTGTGAGATCAATAAAGTTTAAATTAAATTATCCATACATTGATACACTTGTACATGAGTGGAGGCTTTTCACCATGAAGAATGTGCAGCTTTACCATCAGAGAGGATCCAAAACCTCATCCACAACTACCACAGAAGACTCCAAGCAGTCATAGATGATAACAGGGCAATACACACTATTGAGAACTTGGGATGGAGACTTCTGATCAGGGACATTTGTTTGTACATTTGTTTTATAATTAAAAATTACAATGCACATTTATTTGACCATAAATGACCGCATTCTGCTAACAATGAGCGCAAAAAATTCCTAATCACCAAAATATGACCAAAAATTAAATCTCAATTGTACAGGTATGTCTGCTAGTGGTGTTTTAGTATTGTATTAATACCTGGGAGCTGTTGGTGGTTGCTCTCTGGAGGAGTGAAGGGTGTGTGGACATGGTAAACCTTTACGCCATCACCCTGTCCGTCCACTTGTGTGGGAGAATGATCAGTTAATGACATGTTGCTTAGTTTTAACATTAATCTAATATGGTGACACTCACCTGGAACCATATAAGGCGGAGCGTCCTTCCTTCCATCCGAGCTCATCCTGCTGTAGAACAAAGTACAGTGGTTTTAGCGCTGCGGCACTCTTTTTCATTCGGACAGTGTGCATGTCTCCTGTCAGGGCGAAGTGACGCTACGGTATGGTACGGATCATGTCACGTGTGTTCAAGTGTTATTTCAAGTTAAAGCTGCTTATTCAAGTTCATCAACCAATTCTGTAGAAACATTTAAGGCTATTGTTTAACTCTCCAGAACTGGCACATCAGCCCCACAAGTCCATAAGCAAAAAAAAAGCCATTTGCACCTGGAGTTCTCAGCATCAGGACAGAAAGGGGATTAATGTCTTTCCAGTATTCAGCGTTCCTACTGACTGGAATCTCTTACAGAAAAGCATTTTGGCACTCCTGAAAGACCTGGAGATGTATAATGACCTGTCATTGTTCATAATTGCGTTATTTCTATTTATATAACCGAAAGGGTGAATGCTTTTGGGGTTTGTATTGTGAATGCTTCTTGGCCAGCTTCTTGGCTTTGAATCTCTTTGAATCTCAAATGGATTTTTCCTGGTTGAATGAAGGTAAAGAAGTAAAAAACATACTTGTGATTCTTCTACTTGGTAGTGTTATTGTAATGTTGACTGTGTACAATTATAGCCTCCTTCAGGAAATAAACAAGGTTGCAGTAAGGATGCCTGTTTAATTTCAGTGCTCAACAATAATGATAAAAGAAAATAGGATTTAATAAGTCTCTCATTGTTGTTCAGATTCAGATACTTTTACGTCATCTGCAAAAGACTAAATGAACAGCTGATAAAGTGTGTTGTATGTGGGGAGTGAAGATACTACAAACATATTAGGAATTGAAGCAGATAAAACATGATTGAAGCTTATTTAATCAGAGATATCAGGTTAGAACGCTGTGGCCGACTGCCCTTTTTGTCCTCTCTGTCCATACCAGGGATTGTCTGATGCTCTGGGGACATAATCCACACAGTAGTTCAAATTGACAACTATTAATGCTTGTTTTCCACAGAAGCTTGACCTTAGCCTTGTTTTCTGTGCCTGATGTGGCTGAAAAATGGGTTCAAGCAGTGGGTTCTGGCTGTCATCACACATGACAGACTGCTTTGTCACAGCGTCCCACACACGCACAAAAGACCTGTATACACCCAGAGAGCTGCGGCAAGAATGCAGTAGAGCCGCATGGTTCTCCTGCTGACCGGGTGTGTCTGCAGTCGGCACATCCAGTACTGCCTGATGTGTTTGAATGCAACACTTGGCTTTACACAGAAAACTGCTTTCAAATTATGCACCATGGATCTTTCAATGGATACATGTATTTTATAAACGTCACTTAAAGATCAATCTTTTAAAAACTTGCTTAGATGTTAGATGCTCCTCCTATCCATGAGATCCATAGAGTGAAGACAGTTCTTCGCTCCACTGTGAAACATGTAGGCAAGGCAAGTTTATTTGTATAGCACAAATCATACAGAAGGAAACTCAAAGTGCGGAACACTTTGAGTTCCCTTGTGTATGCTTCAAGTTTCGCCCACTGACAATCAAAACACAGGTCTGTATGTTTATCTTTTGGCACATCACTGTTCCTCTTTGTATTGAGCAGGTTTACATCCATCAGTAAGGTGTGTCTCTCGGCATCTGGAGGAGCTCCTGCCATCAGCTGATCAACACTGACCCAATTAGAAGCCGTATGATTTGGATTGGAATATTTCATTATTTTTCAGCATAAAGGCTTGATGTCTGTCCATTCATTCTTATTCTCATGAACTCATTCATTCAAGCAAAAATATTTACATTCATCAGCTTACATAAAATATACACATACACACAGATATGCATAGATATATACATATATATGTACATAAGCAGTATTAAACACAACATTTACAAAATTGTATTCACAACTTTATTCATAAATTATCAGTGGGAAGAAGAAAAACTTATAGACTCCCTTTCCATGTACATCATTTTTAGATGGATTCATTAATTAACATAAATTGACTGTAAAGCGTTCTTCTATACAAAAGTATATACAAGAGTATTGTACTTCTCTTCTATACAAGAGTATTTACTATGTAGTGGGCCTCCCCATAATATCTAAACCGAGCCTATGTATCCAAGTATACATTTTGTCAGCAAGTCAAGTCATAACATTTTGAATAAAAATCTCAATCATTTAGTTTAATTCTACAATGAGGGATAAATGGGGGAGGTGACCTACAAATACAGGTACATGATGAATAGAGTTTGCTTGTGTTAAATCAAATTAAACGCACTTTCTGCCACTGTGGAAATGTGGTCAAAGGAGACTGGGTGCTTCCTTTTAATAAGGACAGAGTTAATATGATGATCTATCTGTCTGAGAAATAGATTGACTGCACTTAGTTATTATCTATGTTCATATTTTAAGACAAACTGACCCTGTTATGAGTATGTGATGGGAAAAGTTATTTCAAACTTTAGTCCTTTAGTTTGTAACAAAGCTAGACATGTCAAACATAATTTGTGACTTTAAAGCTGGAGTACCTAACTTTCAAACACCCCCCCAAAATGTTATTAAAATCCTGTATAATAAGCTAGTTCCTTCCTCTCAAAACACACTCATTTTCACATGCATGTATATTTGGCCTCTGTCACATCTTTTCAGACAAAGTTTAAAAAGGCAGGACCACCCTCTCTCAGCCAATCAACCCTAAGCCCAAAGTGTCTAACTGTGGCTCACAAGTATGAACAAGATAAAATGTTGTCTAATAAGACGAATAAAGCATGTTTTGATATGATTTGCTTACAGAATATCACAAGACTCTTTCTGTTGGGACAAACAAAATGTATTGGTTGGGTACCTGAGCTTTAAATTGTCCTTGTGTGCACCTTTTCCAGAAACGGTATGTATAATTATATCAATGCTATACCCTCTAGTAAGCCAAATGTCTTTTTTCTGAATGCTCTTACCTATTGGGTTGCTTTGTCGTTAGGTTGCTTGTCGTTAGCCTCCAGTTAAGTGTTGAAGTAGAGTCCCACAGGCCACACTGACAGACACGATCTCTGCTTCACCTCTACCTGCATGTGTCCACGCCCCAGGCCTTCCTCAGTCCTGCCCCAGTCTGTCACACGTTGTCAGCTGAGTCATTAGGCGTAGTTCCAAAAGCAGTATTTTGGCTTTGTTCTTCTGTTCGAGCTCGTTATTACAGGGAGTGTATTGTATTGTATATGGGCGGCACGGTGGCTGAGTGGATAGCACTCTCGCCTCTCAGCAAGAAGGTCCTGGGTTCGAATCCCGGCCGGACCAGGGCCTTTCTGAGTGGAGTTTGCATGTTCTCCCCGTGTCTGCGTAGGTTTCCTCCGGGTACTCCGGTTTCCCCTACCACTAAAAATATGTCCAATAGTTCTGGCATGCGCTTCCTGTACTGGCGACCCCGCTCCCATCTCTGTGTGGAGTGACAGACTAATGCCCAAAATTAACAATTGTAAACCGCTTTGAGACTCAGATCTGCAGTGAAAAAGGCGGTATATAAATAAAAACTTACTTACTTACTTACTTACTGTATTGCAGAGTCTTACCCATTTTCTCATTATAATTTCTTGGTGTGGATTTGAAGCAATACTTAAAGATATAGTTTTCTTGTGTTCAAAGATGCTGGGGTAAGATGGCACAAAGATTTAACTTTTTGACCCAAATGTGCTCAATTAACAGTGCTCAGGGAATGATCCTCAGTGTCAAATGTGAGGGTGGCAGCATCATGTTTTGGGCCTGTATTTCTTCAGCAGGGACATGGAAGAGTGTCAGAGTTGATGGGAGGGTGGATGGGGAAAAATATGGGACGTTATGGCAGGAAAAGCTGCTGAAGTCTGCAAAACACAAGAAACTTGGGCTATTTCCCTAAAAAAAATACTTTTCATACACTTTCATTTGTTATAACAAATATATTCATGTGTTAGAATGACCCAGTTAAAGGTTAGACATAAATCTAATTGTCATGTCAAATCCAATCGGTGTAAAGACCTGCAAACCGCTGTACACAAATGCAAAAGGTCTCAAGATGTGCAAAGCTTGTCGACCCTTAATTGCTGCTGTGATTGTAGCAAAAGGGGCTTCCACAACGTATGACTATGATCACTTATACAAACCCCACTTTTCAGTTAGTTAAAAATAAATTGTATTCATTATTTTTAAAGTATTAAAGATAATCTGTTGATGAAATACTCAATGACTAATCTGATCATCGGCTGCAGCCCTTTAAAGAACAAAGTGTGGAGCTGGGGGTAGAGCACCTTTGAAATAGATGTTTTTGTTCTTTTACTCATTGCAGATAACATAGTGATAAACTATTGGGATGGCTGATCTGTTCGTCCTTGATAACTTGTGGTTTGGAGCTGTTGCGGTGCCGTGATGGTGTGAGGTAGAGGACAGTGTGGGGTAGAGGCCTGATGGCATGTGGGTGTGGTCTGTGTGTAATATGACCGAAGTGAGCTCAGTGTGTTCATCTGCGTGTGTTTCGATGTACTTGATTGACAGCATTCCACACAATAGACCTATCCTTACAATGTTTTACATTCCACTGTGAAGCAGAGCTTTCCAGGCTTCATCTTCTGTAAGAGCTCTGAATCTCAATGAGTTTTTCCTGCTCGAATAAAGGTTAATTAATAGTACATTTTGGTGTTGTCTCTCTTGAATCACATCAGAGAGTTTCTTGTTAGAGGCCGTTTACACAAGGATGCTGCAACATTATTACAAAAGAGTTGGGTATTGGATTGGCCTTTTGTTTACACAAAGTCGGTGTTTCAGGGGGATGAAAACGCTAGCGATGACAAAGAGCCTCCAGAATGGAACAGAACAGATATGTTGGGGTATATCCACTGCCCCCTACTGACCGGGTGCTAGAACTACATCGTTTTTTGTCTTTGTGTAGACGCTTACCACTTTGAATACATAACCTAGTCGTTTTTGCTAATTGCTTTGCAGCGTCTCTGCAGAGTCTCCGCAGCGTCTCAGTAGCGTCTCCGCAGCTTCTCCGCAGCGTCTCCGTCAATTTGAAGCACCCTAGCACCACTTGAGAATTGGGGGTGACTTAATCATACAGAGGGCCTTTTGTGTGACGGGGGAAAGGTTTTTAGTCTCATGTCGGCTTTTCACCAAAGGCTAGACAGGAACATGCAGGGAGAATACCTGTGACCTTAGGCAGAGGGACAAATGTATTCTTCACCTAACCCACAAGTACGCAACAAGGTATTAAGCAGTCTGGTTGTATTGCAAGTAAAGATGCCTTGGACATAATGATTAGGTTGCGAGACGCAGGGAGAATGAGGCTATAGAAATGGACAACCTTAAGCTAATACAGTTCCACAACATTCAGAGACAGATGTAATTTCTAACACAGTCCCAATTAGCTTCCTTCCCCACCATGATTTCAGAGTCAAAGATCTCTTTCCTCCTCAAGAGGTGGGCTTGAGCATGTAAAAAGAATTATTATTATTTTATTTTTTATATAGTCCTAACAATGCACTTACACAACATATTCAATCGGACATACTGACAAAAGTTATAAGCTGCCCATAATTGGAATGTGTAATTTTAACAGATTATGTTTATTGCTATTGTCAAGCAGCTTCAAACTTAATAAAGTAACAATAGTTCTGACTTACTATTGTTTTTTCACCACAAGTCTTTTTATTTGCCTATAAACAGTGGTTTTTTTATATATATGAGTCTAACATTTCAGAAGAAACATAACAGAGGTTTAAAAAAAAAAAGAAAAAAAAGGTTTAAAAATAGCCCAGGCTGAGGCCACTTTATAAAGCCAGCGCACAGAAGAAAGCATGTCAGTAAAACAGAGCTCAAGTGGCGCAACAAGCGACCAATCCAAAAGAGAAACCTGTTGTAACAAGAACATTTTATATTAAAGGCAATGTATTATTTATTTACAAATAGATAGCCATTTGTGGAATACTAGACAATGTGGTGTCTCACATACAGTGGTACGTGAAAGCTCATATGCCCCATATCAACATTACTGTATGGAAGAAGATGAAATCTCAAGAAGACATGAAGTTACATATGACACATTCTGAGTATTTAACCTATAACTATTTATTCATTTCCATTTTTTTTTTTAAAGCTGTGGATCTGGCAATTACAAGCAATAGTCAAATCAGAAGCTTGAGAAATGCCATTGGCTCAGAGAGGAGCTGGAGAGAGGGGGAATGCAGTGAGACAGTAGTGAGAGAGGAGCTGGAGGGGGCCTGGAAGTAATGCCTAGCGTACATCGGACTGGCAACTGATTATATCCGTCGCATATGAGTTGCTGCCCCGCACACCCCGACAATCTGACGAAAACGGGCAACTCCCAGTAGCAGACCAGTCTGGGGAATAACAGCGCGTACATCGACAGCAACTGGCCGTCAACTACAGTGTGTTTTCTGACATAAACTGTTGCGGGGCTCGCAATACACACATGTTGTTGGAGCGCGCACATCGGGTGATATCTCCGAAACTGAGGACAACTAGTTGCCGGAAAGTAGAACACGGGCAACTGACTGAAACTGGAGACCGACTGTTTACCTCCAGTTGTAAGAGCGCTCACATCGACCGATTTCGGCAACTGATCATCTCCATCATCTCCCCTCAGTTGCCAAAAGCCGCCTTGTAACTAGTTGTCTCCAGTTTCTCGATGTACGCTAGGCTTAAAGGTGACAATAGTGAGAGGATCTGGAGAGGGTTTGAAGGTAAAGGAGACAGTGGTGGGTGAGAGGATTTGGAGGGGGTCTGAAAGGTAAAGAAGAACCCTCAAGCTTCCTGGTGTCTGGCAGAGGACACAAACTGAGAGGGTTATATTGTAATCATCAGCACTTTGGAAACAGTTCTCCAAAAAGTGTATTATTCTTTGTTGCTTCACTCACATCATTTGGTGATACAATGACCAAACTTTCGCCTAAATTTGACATTTCTGAACACACTACCTATTTCCCTTTCATTCATACTTTCTGTCATATGTTGCATCTGTTGTGAGGATGGGTAAATGGAGGGAGTAGTTATCTGCATCATGGCTGAGTCACTCGCTTCAGGTCACTTGGCTTGTTCTACCTGTCGTGTTGCCCACATTACTGCAAGTGTATCCTAGACTGGTTCTGGCTAAACTCACCTTATGCATGTATGAGCAATTACTCACATAGCATACTTCATTGTTTACGTATTCAAGCAGTGAAGGTGTTTATATGGGTTAAAAGTCAAAAACATTTGCACCAACTGAATGATTCAACTGGTAGGAGAGTAGACGTTATAGAGCACGAGCCACAAGGCAAAAATGTATTGTTTTGATGGATTTGATGGGGACATGGTTGCAAGGAGTTTTGCCGATGATACATGATTGGGTGCATTGCCAATAACAACAAGGCTTCCTGTTAAAAGGTTGCTCTGCTGGAAAACTAGTTTAAAGAGAAAAACCTGGTGTCAAGTTTCTCAAGAGAAATTGCAAACTTTAATCATGTATTTGAGTTTGCAGCTGGAAATGTTCAAACTTTGGGGGATACAGACGGAAAGCCTTTTTTTCTTTCCCTTCATTCTTGTTTGAGTCTTTTTTCTACTTAAGATATTATGTAACATTCTAAAAGTGTCACAAGCTGCCTTCCTCATCTGCCTCACCCCTCCACCCCTGTGTGAGTTTCGTCTCCTCCTCCAACAGCCTGAGCACCACAGCTGGATTCAATCTACCATCATCCACCATCTTAAGAAGCAGTGTTGCTATCTTCATGTCAGTTACTTTTTGGCACTTGTTTCGCGTTTTGGGATAATTTTTACTAATACAACTTTTTGTCCAGGACTTGCAATCAACCACTGAAATCCAGCCTGTACTCACCTGCCACCTGCCCGCCTGCTACAACCTGGTACCTGTATCTCTCCCACCAGCAAATGTCATCATTAAAATTGTTAAAACTCTTGAACTCTGTCTACTTTTGGGTCCTAATATTTGCATTGTGACAAAAAGATTAAATTATAAAGTAAATGGTGTCATTAAACGTTTTAATGTTCAAA